TTATATATATGTGTGTGTGTGTGTGTGATGTACCGTATCTAACTGGGAAATTAATGACAAACTCTGGATGTTAGTATAGTAGTTAGATGCTTGTTTGTGTGTGTGTGTGTGTGTGTGTGTGTGTATGTTTTTATATATAATCAAACAAAATTAAATCGATTCAATTCAAATTGAATTGTATTGTTATATTGAATCGAATTGAATTAAATTAAATTTCCTTCCGTCAATTTTGTTGTTCCATCTTATGGATTCGTATCATTTTCTTTTTGCTTTTGGCCCCTCACAGAAAAAAATACTTTTTTTTATGAACAGCTTTTTTCCAAATAAAAGTTTGTGCAAAAAAATAGATAGATTTCAATTGCAAATTTAAATTTTAAAAAATTACATTGAATATCAAACGAAAAAGTTTTTTTTTTGTATCGACCTACCGAAGAAAATATTCAAAAATCATGATTTCATGAGAAATATTCAAATGTGAAAAGAATTTTCATTTTCAAATGAAAAAATGAAAAAAATTGGGAATTATTTGTTGGATTAGCTTTTGTCTTATTTGTCATTTTGTCTTATATTGAAAACTGATTTTTTTCCCAGTCCGGTTATCAACTATAGTGATTGAATGAATTGATTTTATACACATAGAATTGATTCTGGATTAGATCGATTCCTTTCCAATTGATTTATTTATTCCAATATTTTTTGTTGTTGTTGTTTTTGTTCAAAAAAGTCAATTTTCCTCAATAATCATAATAAAACTATAAACATATTTTGTTCATATTTAATTCGAAAAATACAATCCTTCTTTAGGGTTTGTGATTCAAACAAATTCAATCATATTCTGTTCATCATAAAATTATTATTATTTGTATTATTATTTCTAATTTATAAAGAAATTATATTATAACACTTTAACCAAATAATAATCAGAATAATAAGTTTGTACTTTTTGTTTTGTTTTCATTTTCGTTTGCAAAACTTTTGTGAGATCATGTGTTCGATATATAATAATAATAATAAATCTTGAAAATCGATATCGATTTTGATTCAATCGAAATTTTTTTTCTGTGATCAAATCGAAAAGAAATACAAGATTAAACGAATGAATGAAAAAAAAGAACAAAAGAAAAAATTGAACAAACAAAAACTAGAAGAAGAATGAAAAACAAGGGCGTCATTACATATACACAAAGGCGTCAGATTTATAATCAAAAGCTTAGGCTTTTTTTTGGGGGGGAGGAAAAGGAATCTATTTCCATTTTCTTCTGGTTTTGAGTAGATAGGGGAGACAAAAGTGGAAATGTTGTTGATGGTGGGGTTTTTCAATTCATGTATAATACGAGCTTATTATGAAACTTCAATGAAAAGAAGAAAAAAAAAATCCAATCGATGATCAAAGAATAAAATGATGATGATGATGATGATGAGTTTTTCGGTTCCACAGCTCCGTTTTTCTATCCACCATCATTTCACTCAATAAAAAAAAGGTCCAATAGTCAATCAATCAGTCATAGTCGATTTGTTTTTTATATAATATTTTTTATTGGTTTCTTCAAAAACTAAGCTAGCCTCAAATTGATCTAAAGCTTATCACAAATGTCAGCCTAAATGATGCTAATCTTGATGCAATTTTTTTTACAGTGTTTATTTTTTCGAAGAAAAAGTTGATGACCGTTGTTGTTCATAAATTGATCGAAATGAATTCATTTGGAAATAGAATAAAATAAAGTGAAATGAAAATTCTTAGAAAAAAAAACATATAATAATAATAGAACCAGAAAAAAAACACGTACAAACAATTTATTTGATGATGATGATAATGATGGATTCCAATGAATTTTTGTTCAACACACACAACAAAAAGTGTGTGAAAATTTACACACACTTTTCTGTGTTTCGTTGATTTATTCAATTCAAATTCTCATTGTTCACTGAATACAGTTAGGCAAGCGCCTACAATCAGGAACAAAAACAAACAAATAGAAAAAAAAATAATGCCATCATTTTTATCCACGGAGAAAAACTTAAATGTAGAAAAGAAAAAAATTATTTTTCTTTTCTTTTCGTTTCTCACTACTATTTTATCATATCCATATGGCCCCATATACATAAATGTAAAGAAAAATAAATTGTCGTATTGAAAAGAATAGAACAACCGAATGATCAACGAATGATGAATATACGAAAAAAAATAGGTCTATACAGGACTTAAAAGCTTCGATGCGAATTACAACATACGAAGAATTTACGCTCTTTTGTTTTGTTTTCAAAGAAAAAAAATATTCTTCCTTGTTTTGTATTTTTTTTGTTTTTGTTTTGTTTTGTTGTTAGCTTTGAATTACCGAAAACTTGATTGAAGTCCATTTCTTTTATTTTCAATACCGTTTTATTAAACACTAATCTAAAAAGTACATAATTATTTTTTTTGTTCATTTAATTGATTACACCATTAATGATGAATTGAAACAAAACAAAAACAAAAAAAAACAAGAACAAATGATGTAACGAATAATAATAAATTCTATTCATCATCATTGAAATTTATCAATTTCTTTAGCAATTGTTTCAATCACAATATGAATAATATGAATACCAGAATAGAATTCTTAATTTCAAATTCAGTCATGCGTTTGTGATGATGATGGTGGTGCTGATGGTTAGTTTTTTCCAATTTCAATCTTTCCCTTTTTTTCTGTATACGATAGAATGAATGAATGAAAAACCAAAAAAAAAAAATCTTAGTCGATCGAAGTTTCAATTTAATTCAAAAAGAATGAAAAAAAAAATGTCGTCAGCTGAATCAGAATTTTTTTTGTTCGTTTTTTCTTCAAACATTCTTATATAAGCCATTCATTGAAGATATAATCATTTGATGTGATTTAAACTTTTTTTTTCGCCTATACACTTTTCATAGTTAGCATTTTTTTGTTATTGTTGTTATTTTTTCCGGGCCAAAAAAATGGGTCAAAGTTTTTGTATTTTTTTTTCCTTCAATGAACAAATCAAGCATAGAATTTTTGGGTTCTATATTTATTTTCACCAACGATGATTACCCCATCAATAATGATGATGATAATCATAGTGAGAGAGAGAAGAAAAAAAGTCAAGAAACTTGGATTTTTCTTTTCTTTTTTTTTTACTTTTTTTTCAAAGATGAAAAAATGACGATCCCTATATCAATCGACTTTTTTTTTGTTGTTGATATCATTAGGATATTAGATGGATCAATATGGTTTTTCTTCATCGTAAACTAAAGTAATGGTGTGTTCAAAAATCAAAAAGAAAAAAAGAATCCAAAATGCCATATCGATAAGATTTTTTTTTTCTATATTTTTCGGGTAAACTTTTTTGTGTTTCATCATTTTAGATTGAGACAGGAATTTTTTTTTTGATTCTAAAACCAGCTATTGAAATCATTGAACTCGAATGATTTCTACAGTTTTTTTTTCGTTGTTGATGATGTTGTTGTCTTTTCTCTTTTTCATCATCATCATCATCATGTTCATCGATTTTGATTGTTCCATCTTCTTTCTACTATCATCATCATCATCATCATCATTTTTCTGTTATTTATTTATCTCTCTCTCTCTCTCTCTCTCTCTCTCTCTCTCTCTCTCTCTCTTTCCTTCTTTTTTTCTCTTTATAATAATTACAAAATCCAATTGGAACGNCTCTCTCTCTCTCTCTCGCTCTCTCTCTCTCTCTCTCTCTCTCTCTCTCTCTCTCTCTCTTTCCTTCTCTTTTTCTCTTTAGAATAATTCCAGAATCCAATTGGAACGATCATAACCGCCTTAGTATTAGAGAGTAAAGTGAATGAGTGTATAAGGGAAAAACAAAACAAAAAAAAAATTTGCTGAAGAAGAACTATCTCTCTCTTTCTCTCAGTTTGTTTGTGTGTTGTGGATGTCAAACAAACAAACAAATAAACCAAGCAAATAAAGCAAACAAATACATGAAACAACAATGAAAACAGGAAAAGAATTTAGAAGCGAATCAAAAAAAAATAGCTTCAAATATCGGGCAGCTGTCGTATTTTTATTTATTTTTTTCGACCAAGCTTTTTTCCACATATCCTTCGATACATCGATATTGTTTACTTGGCTAGTTTTTTTTTCTTGAAAAAAAAAATTTAAAAAATAAGAAATACATTGAAAAAAAATGAAATAAAAACGAAACATTATCATTATATCAATTGATATTGATGCCCTTTTATAAAGAATATCATTTTTTTTTCTATGTTTAAAGTATTTGACAAATTGTATATTTGTATCATTTGAAAAGTTGCTTCTTCTTTTTTTTTAGACTGGATCAATGTTGTCAATTTATTTTTTATTTTTTGTTGTTGGCGTAATCAAATCGAAAAATTCAAAATTGATTTGAATCGAATGGACAATTCAATTTGAATTTAATTTAATTTTTTTTTCATTAATTGAAATGTCAATCATCATCATTGATCTGTCATCATTGTTGATTTGAATTGAGACATTTTGCTATAAATTATTATTATTACAGGTAAACACGATTGACAAGTTAATAATATTCAAATATCTGAATTTTTATTTTTTTCAACAACTCAATTTTTTCAACAACAAAAAATTCGAATTCGAATTCTTTTTTTTTTTTTTTTGATTTTCTCTGTGGGATCTTCAGACACTACTGACATCTATCGAAACATAATCGATGCAAAAATTTTGTTTTTTTTGTTAATTTTCAATTCGAAATTAGTGTATACAGGACAGGTAAAAACTAATGAAAAATTCAAAGTTTTTGAAAATTCTATTTATGTATGGTGATGTTATGGCAAATCGCGCGCGCTAATTCTAGCAATAACAAACCTGTTGAAAATTATGGTTGCTGAATTGTTCTAACTTTCACTGGTTACGAATTGGACATAGTGGTGGTAGTTGGAATTCCGCCATGAATTTGTTCGGGGACTGTATAAGGTATGGTATGGTATGGTGAGTGGTGGTATCCCATACACATCATACCACTATCTTGGTTTTAGCCTGTTGCATGGCATTTTGAGCTTCGGTGTTTGGTTATATTTTCACAAGTGTTGTTCGGGAGAATTTTTTTTTGTGTTGATGATTATTGTGTTTTATTTTGGATTTACGAATCTGTGAAACCTAATAATGAATTTTTTTTTCAATGACGTTTGATGATACCAGCTCATTATAATTGATGAGAATGGATAAAAAAATGGATCTCTCATTGATCAAATTGTTGATGATCATTTGGTCAATCAATCTATATCGATCTCTTGTATGGGCTAATCTGGATAATACTTTTTTTGCTATGGTAATAAATTATTCTTGTAATTTAATTCTCTTTGAAATCAATGTAATTTTGTTCAAATTTCAATCCTTATTTAGACAATGAAATCATATAGAAATCCGGCAAATTGTTATCGACCGGTAAAAAGATGTATTCCATTAAATACATCATTATCTTGTTTAGATGTATCTTTACCGTATAAATTCACCGCATATTCATTACCATTCGAACAATCATCATCATTATCATCAGTATTGATAGATTATCAACAAATGATCGAAATGACACGTTCCTATTTAGATGGCTGGAAAGGTTTGCGATCAATACCACAATGTTGGAAAGCATTACAGACTGCATTATGTGCATCATTCTTTCCACGTTGTGATAATGACAGTTCACGTGTCATATTGCCCACATATGAAATGTGTCGTCTAACTCGTGCACCATGTCGTATTATTGATGAACATTTTCGTTGGCCATCATTTCTTCAATGTGAAAATGAAACATTTTTTTCAACCAAATGTCCTAATTCGTATACAGATTTAAAATTTTCGACAACAATTGTTCAGAGTCGTTGTCCAGCACCATTAGTATCCACTGATGATAGCCGTATCTATTATCATGGATTCGATGGTTGTTCATTGCATTGTATAAATCCTGTCTATAGTGCCGAACAGTATGAAAAAATGTCCAAAATTATTACTTATGGATCAGTATTAGGATTAATAACAACATTGTTTGCCATTTGTTCGTTTATTATTGATCGTGCTTGTTTAAAACGACGTTTTTATACATCGGTCATATTTTATCTAAATTTATGTATGATGATGTCTACTACCGGTTGGATGTTACAATTGCTCAAAGGACGTAATGATATTGTATGTCGATCGGATAATACGATCCGTTATGGAGAACCATCAAAATCCGATCATTTTTATTGTTGTCTATCGTTTTTGCTCATCTATTATTTTTCATTAGCAGCATCCATATGGTTTGTTCATTTGTTTCGTGTTTTTTACAAAACATTTTATGGACTTTCCACTGGCATGAAAATGGATTTCAATAAATTTCATTTTCACATGTTCGCCTGGTCGATACCACTTATAATGACCATATTGATATTTTTATTAGGTGAAATTGATGCCGATCCATTGCGTGGCATTTGTTTTGTCGGCACTGTTAAGCCTGTTTATCGAATTATTTTTGTACTGGTTCCGCAAACAATTTGTATTGGAACTGGTCTATATCATGCATGTCGTACAATGTTCATATTATACAGTGCCAAACAAAAATGTGAAAATCAAAATTCTCGTCGAAGTGATAACATTTGTTGGGCATTAATACGAATAACATTCTTTTCGGCTGCCATATTAATCATCAATCTAGTCACCTCTGGCACATATTTCTATGAATTGTATATTAAAGATAAAAATCTAAAACAATTCAATGATCATCTTGTTTGTGAGCTCAACATAAGCACCGTATTACCGGCCAAATATCTTTTTAGTAATGGATCATTGCAAAACAATTATAGACATTCGATTTTATCGTCTAATGAACATAATTATGAAATGTATGGAAATGGCTATGTTAGTTCATGTCGTCAATACGAACCGCCAAATTTATGGTTCGTTTGTCTACAACTGATAGCCATATTTTGTGCACCTATTCTAACATCAAGCTGGATTTGGACCCGAGCAACTATTTCTACTTGGCGAAGATTTCTTAATCGTCAGCTTTGTAATTCAAGCAAAGAATCCAAAGAATCTTTACGATTAAAACCATATGAATTGATTGCCAATTCATATCAAAAACGTGAACAAATCCAACAAGGATTATATGTACCAAGCCTTGCATCTAATCACAATGATCCAGTTGATATGGACATTAATTCGGCTCAATCACAAAGTGTATCAACAAATTTTCAGCAAAATTTTGCTGCCTTATTGAATCGTAGATATGCTATTTGGGGTGGTAACAACAATAACGAAAATATAGTATTTGTTAAACATCAATTTGATCAGAAAAATGTTCGACAAACTACCAATTATCCGACACCAAATACGATACGACCATCATCATTTGTATCGCAAAATTTATCTATATCCGATGTATCTCAGCAACAGGTTTCATTCGAATCAATGGAACAACAAAAAATGACCGAAATGGCTACTTATCATCGCAATCAACGACGTAAGAAAAAGAAAGAACGTGAAAAACGTTTGTTTACTCGTCGTGATAGTGATACATCCGGTAGTATAATATCGGCTGCATTTACTGCCACTAAAGCTGCGAATAGATTACGAGAAACGACGACACAAAGAATGGCATCCAATCACACAACAACTGCCAATACAAATTCATTTGTCACAAAAGCTACATCAACTGGCGACTTATTCAACATTCTATTTGGTCCAACATCGGCAACTACAGCCATGATGAATGGTTATAATCCTTATGCTATGGCTATGATGCAAACTGCTGCAGTAGCTGCAGCTGGTACAATTCCTCAACCATCAGTACATTCGCAATCGTTTATGACGCACGGATCGACAACAGCAGCAACAGCTCCAATGTCTATGGCTCAAATTGTCTCAAATACTTCACCAAATCATGCACAAACGATTATTATGAATGAAACAAATTGTCGGGCAACAAGTATGGCGTCTAATTCAAATGAACAACTTGTTACCGGTGGAGGATGTGTACGTATGCAAAAAGATCAATGTGTTTCAACATTTGCTTTCACTCATGGTATGTCCGATCAAACTAACCATACTATTGTGAATCCTATGATGGAGAAACGTCGACCTGATAGTTCTATACGCACCACTCAACAACAATCAAAAACAAACATCAATAATGAAGTTGGCTTTTCAAATCTGGTCATTGTAAATCAGGCTTCGGCTGGTGCAACGATCAGTCCCTTTTCCAATTCTAACTATATTATGAATACGATGTCAACGACAAATCATGCAGCAGCTGTCACACCTGCCATATATCCGGTACCGAATGTTGCGGCCGCTGCTTATCATCAACATCAAATGTATACGAATAGTCAAGCAGCAGCATTAGTTGCTGCAGCTGCAGCTGCCTACGGTGGATATCATCATCATCCACCACCACCCCCAACGCAACCATTACCAACTAATATGTTAGCAGCTGCAGCAGCAGCCGCATCAATACCACGATATTATAATACACAAGCCGCATTTCTTGCTTATCAACAATCAAAAAGTTTGGCCGAAATGGAAAACCTAATGCGTGAACATGAAAAATTTAAAAGTTTAGTTACAGCTCATCAAAGCGATACCGAAAGTAATTCAGAATTTCTTCCAATAAATCTAACCGAATCAGAATCATCAAGGAATGGTTACTATTCGGATGATCATCGACAATTACAATCATCACGATTATTGGTGCAGGAACGAATGAAACAGGTTGAAGATCAAGTAGATCAACAACAACAACTACAACAAGAGAAAAGTATTGTCCAAAATGACGATGATGATGATGATGATGACGACGATGATGATGATGATGATGAGGAAACTGAAACAAATTCCAAAGATGATGATGATAATCAAGTTGAAAATCAATTAATTCAAAACAAAACCAAATAATAACTGAGAATCTTAATTTTATTATTTAATTATAATAACATGTTTTATATAAAATTAACGTTAACTGAAATGTTAAATAAAATTTGCTTGAAATAGCCAATAATATATTCGGGAAAAAAAATTCTATATGTAATATTGCCATAATTCAATAACAATTGCAATAAAAACATTTTTTTTAACGATTATCATAAGAACTAAGGAATGTGTGATCATCATCAACATAATCATTGATCACAAACATGGTTCAACATAATTTCCTGGAAATAAACCAGTAATACCATTCAATACACCTTCCCACCAACCATCTTCGTTTTTACGTATAACATAGATAAGTGAATTTTCCTGAAATGATAGTTCATCATCTTTATCCGCTGTATAATCATAGATGGCTACAACTAAATTATAAAAAAAAAAGAATTATTCAATTGATCTGATTGATTGTTTTTTTTTGTGTTTACCTTTTTCAAGGTAATTTGATGGAATCCAATCTTGACTGGCAGGTGAAGATGAACCGACCGAAGTTTCGACCTTATCCAATACTAATGATCTTTCTATTTTTACCTGTTCTGTTTGTTGTGATGATGATTTATCATTGGCTGTATTTGGTTTATCATTGTTGTTCCCTGTTGTTGATACATCTTGTTGTTGATGTTGAACGCAAGATTTCGTTGATAATTGTGGCTGTGGTTGTGTTTGTAAATCCTGTTTATTTGAAGCATAATTTGGAGGAACTTGTGGCGGTGGAATTACCAACGGAGTTGGATGATGATGATGAAAGCCCATACCAGAACGATATGAATCTTTGGAATGACGTGCCAAACTGTTAAACATACCAGCACCTGAAGTCGGTGGCGTTGATGGTCGAATAGTTGATATTAATGTATTATTAGTAGTACGTCCATACATAATAGCTTCATTTGTAGCTAACAATGATGATTGACCAGTGTTTGATTGTGATGATGATGATGATGACGATAATGATGATGGTTGTGAAGCAATTATAGATGAAAGATTCGATGATTTAGATGGTCGAAGTGTTGCCGATTTTATCGTCGGTAGCATTGAACGATTATCGAATGTATTGGATTTGTCATGTTGTTGATGAATTTTGTATGCAACACCTACATTATCTAATGAACTAAAATCGATCGAATCCTGTTGATATTTATATGTTGTTCGTATTTTTGGCCGTTCAGGATAAATAACCGGTGGTTGTACAATCAATCTTTTTGATTTTGTTAATCGACCAATTTCACGTCTTGAACATTTTTCATTGTTAAGCTGTATTTTTCGTCCAATATTACGAGTTTGTGATTCTAATGAATCGAATTGTTGTTCCAATAAATTGATCGTTGACTGAATATTCGATGCATATGAATATATTTGACTTGCAATCGATGCCAATGCTTGTTGTGTATAATTCTTTGTAACAGTAAATGCTTCGTCTTGATTATCGTTCTATTGAGAATGATGTTTGTTTGTTATAATAATTTCAAAAAACTTTCCAAAATCAAATCAAAACTTACTTGAAAATAATTTGAATCACAATAGTTGGCAATTTTGTCCAAATTAATTTGTGAATCTTTTAACGATTGTTGATTTTCCGGTAAATGTTGATTGAGCAATGATTTTAATGCTTGATTTGTTTGTTTCAAATGTTTTGAATCATCTTCTTTATTATCATCATCATCTTCATTATTATGATTTGATTCAATTGATGATGATTTTGTTATCGTTTTCGAATCATTTTGATTTACTTTGCCCGTCATTCTTATTTAGTTTAATTTTTGAGAAAATGTGAGCTTGAATTGCGAATTACCAAAAAGAGAGAAATTTAAAACAGTAATGATGTTGAGCGTATTTGCATTGCAATGAAATGAGATTAGAGAATTGCTATAAATATATATTGAGTTAACGATATATGAGATTTTTTTTACATAATAGTATGGGCGTCGTTGTTACCCGGTCGATACTGTTTGTGATGATTGAAAAAAAAACAATTAATTTGATGTCTTTTTTTTTGCTTCACAGATGTGAACGATGTTGACGATTCTAGATGAATATAATTTTCTCTCTTTTTTTTTGTTGTTGTTATTGGTTACTGAGGAACAAAATTTTCTTCTTTATAAATGATTCATCGATAGATGATGAAAAAAAACAACAACAACAAAATGAATGCCGATGATTCCTAGGCATCATTTTTATGATAAACTGAAACAAACATCATCAAAACATATTTTGTGCTCCAAGTTGTGGAACGATTTGTTTTTTTATTATTTCGGAAGACTAATATTCAGAAAAATAAGAAGAAATTCATCCGTTAAGTAGTTAGTTATTGTTAGTCAGTCAGTCAGTCACTCGGTCAATCAATTCAGACAATTGAATCCTATATAACGTTATATAACGCATAACGTTCAAAAACGTTATATATATAGACTTAAATGATAATGTTTTATATCATACATAAGATTGGATTCAACTCTGTTTCGTTATTCAAATAAATGAATTGATCAAAATGCCGAAATAAAATCTATCCATATATATATTGTGTCCGCAATCATCATCATAATTTTGAAATTTGAATTCTATTGGAACACCGACTAACTGAGTAACGCCATCTATCACCGAATGTTGTATATAAATTGCGAATATACATGCGAGTAATGGATTCATTTTTGTTTATTATCCTGATTTTTATATCGGATAATGAATAATGATAATTCATTAAAGCAGCCATTAATTGGCTTTTTTTGTTCGACAAAAAATTCATCATCATCTATCCAACAACAACAACAATTTGATAATAAAACAATTGATCCAAAATCAATTGGTGATTTTTACAAAGAGATAATTACGCAATCACCATCACCATCATCATCATCAAGATGGAAAACGAAAACGAAAGCAAAAACAAATTCGAATCGAATGCTAAAATTTTATTGTGATGCCTGTAAACAAAACGTACAATCGATTAGTATACATTCACATAATCTTTCTATTGAACATCAATTTCGTTCAAATCAATTTAGCGAAATCGATACATCATATGCACAATATGCACATTTAAATCGATCGGATAATCGTGGCTATCAATTACTTCGAAAACAAGGTTGGTCTGGTTGTTCAGGTCTTGGTCGTCAAGAACAAGGTCGAAAATTTCCATTGAAAACTGTTAAAAAACAAGATCGAAAAGGTGTTGGTTATCAACAACAAACTAATGATGAATCGAAAGAAACTTCAACAAACCGACAACAACCGTTATTCGTGCGTAAAGATCAAATTCGACGGCGACAAAATTATGAAAGAAGTCTTGAAATTGAATTCCGTCGTCAATTTATTGACGATGGTATCATTTAATATTGTGTAAATAACATAATAATCATTTTTTTTTTGTTAATAAATCATAATTTTCATATTAGAAAAATAGTTATGAATTTTTTTTGTGCATTTGAAATAATCTAATATTCAGATATTTTTCAAATAATACGGCATAAATTTGGTTTGATCGATTTCTTTTTTACAATTTGTCTACAATGATAACAATTGTTATCATTGTAGTTGTTGCTGTTGTTGTTATCGGTATTGTTGTTAATGTTGTTGTTGTTGTTGTTATAATTTTCATTTTGGTTATTGAAATTTTGTTGTTGTTGTTGTTCGGTACCATAATCTACTGTTGATTGAAAATCGTCTTCAGGTTTAAATGCTGTTTCAATAATAGCTTCAATCAATTTGTCGATACCATCACCAGTTTTAGCTGAACATTCACAATAACCAACTGCACCAATATTATCAGCCATGAATGCCCTTTGATCATAAGATGTTTCAATATTTGATCGGTGTTGTTGTTGTTGTTGTTTATCATTCTGTGTGATTGTCTGATATAAGAGATCTTTTTTTGTACCTACCAAAATAATTGAAGCTTCTGGGCAATAATGATTCAATTCAGGTGCCCATTTTCGTTTGACATTCAAAAATGAACCGATTGAATCAATAGCAAAACATAACAATATAACATTACAATTTTTATATGAAAATGGCCGCTAAAAAATAAAAAGTTCATCGATACAATAAACACAAAAAAAAGAAATTAATTAATTGATTTAACCTGTTGATTTTGCATACTGACCAAACGGCTTAATTCTTCACTACCAGCCGTATCCCATAATGCTACTTCCATCTTGAATGACCGTAGAGATAATAAGAAAAAAGAATGTTACAATCAAATCGAAATAAATTATAAATCATTGAATTGAAATAAACAAAGATTTCATACCTCTCGACCATTATGATTCAAAGTATGAAGAGTGGTTACCAATACGGTTGGACAATAATTTTCAAGAAAATATTTATTCTGTTCATCGCTATTAATTTGCAGCGAAGATGAAGATTTACTTAACAAGCCGTTAAATAATAGACAAGTTTTACCAACACCGCAATCACCGACTATAACTAATTTTTTTCTTACATTCATTGATGACGATGACAATCGCTTTGATCGAAAATATTTAGTTGTAAATGCTCGTTTAGGAAATGATAATAACGATTTTGTTGCCGATTCTGCAATCAATATAGAATGCTGTACACGTAATGGACATTTTTTTAATTTTTTAAAACTCATATTCTCATTGTTCAATTGAATTTGTTGTTGATTGATTTGATTATCATTGTTAAATGATGATAATGATGAAGATGATGATGATAATAATGTATCCATCCTTTTAGAAAAATGTATAATGTCTGCAGATAAAATATATGATTAGTTGAAATGAATGTTAATGATGTTAACCAAAACATCATCATCATCATAATCATCATTACAACATTCCAATTATATGATTTATTACAACAACAAACAAACAAACAAACAATTGAATCATTTAATTTCTAATTATGATAATAAATAACAATTAAATCAATTTGGATTGATAGATTATTTCAAAACAAAACAATTACATTATCATCCATCGATTATATCTAAAACGTAGCAAAAATATTTTCGCTGTAAGATTGATATTTTGGACAACAAAAAAATTGTTTTTTTATTCTTGCTCTTTGTGGGGTCAAAAATAACAATCTTTTTGGAAAAAAAAACAGAATAAAATCAAATAAATCAAACAAAAATGGTTTCAGGCAAGCAAAACCAACAACTAAGATTTATCGGATTTATATTCACTTTTCTCTCTCTTTCTCTTTAATTCTATCTAATAAATAAACAAAACGATTCCGAGATCGACATATATATTTGGAAACAATTCAAAACACTTACAATTTATTCTTTATAGCTATACCAACTATAGGAACCAGGATGATTCAATTAAAATCAATTATCAGATCAAAAAAAAAAAAATATTTTTAAAACAAAACAAAACATGAACAATTCATAAATGATTCAATCAAATACGAATGATTAATGAAATTTTTTTTTCTTTCAAAAATCAATTATCAATGACAATAAATTTCTTTTGATCAGATTTTTGTTTTTCATTTCATTTATTTTATTTTATATCGGAAAACCCCCAAATTTTGTTCCTATTCCCTTTTTATATAAATCAATCTATGTGTTAATCTTCATAGACAGAATTAACCGAATATTTTTTTTTTTTGATGATGATGAATGAATAAAAACGCATGCGTTTTTTTTGTGACAAAATTTTGAATCCACAATGTGGCCACCAAAGCTTATTAACTATTAACCAATTACAAGAATTTTTTCTGTTTATTATCATTAATTGGTTATGTAAGATTATAATATTATTCTGGAAAAAAATGACGCCAATCGTATGGTAATCATTAAAATAATAATAATAATAATATTTCAATGTAGGTGTTTTATATATGTGGCTGACATGATTCTGGTGAAGAAAAAAGGACAAAAAAAAAGAATTTCTTCAGTTTTTTTTTTCTGATGATGGACTTTTTTTTTGGTTCCGAATACAAATCAAATCAAATTATTAACCTTGAATATTTATTTTATTTCCAACAAAAAAAAGCACCTACATAAAACCAAAGAGAAACTTCTTAAAGCTTCAAAAAATCACAAAAAAGCACGTTCAGATTCGGTCTGCAATGTTGCTGTTGCTATCGAGCACTGTTGCTGATGCTGATTATGCTAATGTAATGGTTTTTTCTATTATCAAAAAAAACAAATTGGTTTATTTAATCCGAATTATAACAGGGCAAATAAATTCTTTTCTTTCTCTCTCCTTGTCGAAAGCAAAAGCAAAACCAAAAAAAAAAAAATGATAATTATTTTATCAGAAATTTTCAAATGAAATATGATTGGCAATGACATTTAGAGTTAGGAAAAGATTTTATTTATTCATTTATTTAAATTATGCAATTATTTATCATTTGCAAGAAAATAGAATTAGTTTTGTAAAAAATGAGAATTATTTACATTGCACAAATACCGATTGATCATTTGAAAAAAAAATCAATCATCGGAATTTATCCTATACGACCTTAACCATATTTTGAATTTTCATGTATAATTTTTAAAAAAATATGGTTATGGCTTTTTTTAATGATAATGATGATGCCATTGTCCAACTGAGTTTCAGTAAATATAAAATTTGATGAATGATCAATTTTAATCAAAAATAAAACATTTTTTTTTTCATTGATTGATTGTTGTTTGTTCACATTGGTGTATTATTATGACGATTTGAATATGATGAAGAAAATGCTGCCGATCCATAATTAATTGGAGCATTATTTAATCGACTTTGTTGATTACTAATCATATTGTTTATTGATTGTTGATTATTATGATGATGTTGTTGTAAAGATGATGATGATTGCTGTTGTGGTTGATTGTTACTATTACTTGTATATGATTGCATAGGAAATGCATTGGCCATTGAAGAATTCATCGATAAAGATGCTGCCGATGATTGTCGGCTTCTTTGTGATAATGTATTTGAATACATCTGTAAATAGCTTGCATGTAATGAATTTTGTGATGAATGATGTGAACGTGGTGTTGTAGGCAGTGGTGGTTGATGATGATGATGATGATGAGAAGCTGATGGTCTTGAGTCACTTGAAACTATATTCTGATGACTTTCATGTATGGTCAATGGTTGATTGGTTACCAAAGAATGATGATAGATTTGTGGTGATGGTTGTAATGAACCGGTACCACTACCAACACCAGTTCCGCCATATCGTCCATAAGGATTAGCTGAATCAAGACTATGATGCGAAAAGGAACGTGATGCATTCAACGAAGACAATGTGGACATCTTCAATTTGGCCATATCCTCTAGTCGAGTTATATCGCTTAATTCTTGAAAATTAGAATATACTACTAGCCAGGTGAATACATTGAGAGCTGTGAGCAAGAACCAAATGATCAACATCGCTTGATGATAACCAAAATATAAATCCTAAATGAATTGAAAATCATGTAAAATTATTTTAAATTTAATGATTAAATTTCTTCACTTACATTCACAATTGATTGATAGATGATAGTAATAAGACGGAAACAGATAAATATGGCCATTGCACGAAGCCAGTGACGAAATTTAAGCTCATGTTCTTTACGTAATGCTGCCATTAATATTACTGATGTGATTGATAAATATGCAGCACTAATTGCTAACAATAATGCTATAGCCATTAAACTTCGTCGAACTGGATAATAGAATTTGAATAATATTTTTTTTTTGTCAAAAAATCAATCACAAGTTTTTTTTCCAAATCATACTGACCATGTTGATTACCACTGTAAACAAATAAAAAACTTATACCAAAATTGCGAGAATGTTTCGAACCGGGTGCCGCTTCGATCAAACAATATAAATCAAATATAGCCAAACAAATTTGTAAAATGCTTTCCAACTGAAAATTTTTAAATTGATAAAATCAAATAAAGAATTTTAGAAAAAAAAAACAAAAATAAATAAATAATTTGATGATTATTACCAAAGTATAAATGGCTGCCAGATAGCTACCCTTTTGTAAATCAATAAAAAATGCATTGGCTAATATTGGTCGTCGTTCCCACCAATGTAATTTAATCTTACGAGATCCATGTAATGTACGGGATCGATTTGTTGCGATCGATGTGGTTGATCGTGCACCATACGAATGTATCGATGGTGGCATAGTGTTTTTGAATTTGTTTTTTTTTTTAATTTATAAATTTTATTTATAAATTCTTTTTATGAAAATTACAAAAAAAATCAGATAAAGAAATCAAAAATCAAGAAAAAAAAACTTACCAGCAAATAAAACAAAACAAAAAAAAATGAATCCAATCAAATTGAATCTCAAATAATGATGATGAATGAATTTTTTTTCAGGTGAAAAAAAGAAAGAAAGAAGGGTGAGGTCTGATTTTTATTTTGTTTTTAAATAAACAAACAGAAAAGAATTGAAATTTCAATCAAATTAAACAAACAAACAAACACACTTTGAAACTAATGTAAAAAGACACAGAAAAAAATAAAATAAAATATTTTTCATTGATGGATCATTGATTTTTTTTCTCTCAATTCAATATGTCAATTTGATAAAACAGTTGAAAAAAAATCTCGATTCAATTGATTGTGAACAACAGAAAAAAAAAATTAAAATGTCAAAATTTTTGATAACCCAATAATGATAATAATCGGAAAAAAAACAAACATTTTTGTACTGAAATACTATTTTCATAGATTCTTTGTGTGTGTGTGTTTCATTCATTTAGTTTTTTGTTGTTGTTGTTGTTGAATCCGTGGCAACCATGTTCGCCCGGTGTGTGTGTTTGTGTGTAGGTATTATTTATCTGGGTTGTTTGAAAACTGAAGAAAAAAAAATGAACAACAAATAGGAAATATTAAATTGTGCATATAATACTAAATTACTAATTTGCATATGATTTTAGAATTTTTGGTTTAAATTTGGGATTTTTGTGTTTTTTTTAATACAAAGTTTTTTTTTCTCGTTTCAACACAGATGAACCATAAATTGAATTTTTAATTTGGATTTTTTTTTATTGTTGAAAATCATTGAAAATTCAAAAAAAAAATAAATAAACAAATATCACATCGTCGTTACACCGGTTGCATTTATTTATTCATTTGTTGTTGTTGTTTTTTTTGGTTGCAATTAAAAAAAAATATATATTTTGATTTTGTTTACTATGATTTTTTGTTGTGGGCTTTTATAATTTGTAAAATAAAATTATTCTTATACTTCTGGATTGATTTCATCAGCGAAAAAAAAGAAAAAGAAAAGAATTTATCGAAAAAGCCAACACAACATTTTCAATTCAATTCAATTCATATTTAACAACAACAATCACCATCATAATCATCGACATCAACAAAATAACAAGAAAGAACCATGGAAAGAAGCCATGAACAACGCTCAATTTATCTAACAAGCCATACACACACACAATTAATGAGCGAAGCAAAAAAAACAAGATACACCTGAGAGAAAACAAGAGAGAGAGAGAGAGAGAAAATGCCGAAGTTTATAACTGACTGTAATGTGAAACGATGCATGATGGTTGATGGTTGATTCGTTCAGTGTCCTGACCATCATCATCATCATCATTATGATCATCGTCATCATACGATAATGAAGCGCGTATTTGGTTGGCGTTATTGTATTTCTCTGTGTGAATATAACCACTACAATGAAATTTTTGTTCTTTTTTTTTGATTTCAGATCCACACAAATCTTAGGTGTGTGTTTATATTCTTCATCCATCTATCTATGTCTCTATACACCCAAATCTTAGGTAATATTAGAAAAAAATTCAAAATTTTGGCGTGGTGGTTATAGCACACAAAATACAACAACAACAAAAAATTACCTGTTGTTGTGATCACATAATGTCTTTTTTTTCTCAAATTGTGCATTTGACAACAACATCATGCATACCTGGATATATTATCCATTGTTGTTGGTACAGCCTCTACAAGTGGTTTTTCAAGTTATAATAGATACAACGGCAAATTTTTTTTTCAAAAAGAAAATCTAAACTAAAAGTTTACTTTCAAATCCGATAGATGACGTATTAGTTTTTGGATTTTGAAAACAATTATATAAAGCCCTACCCTAACCGTTCATTTATCGAATACGCCTACAATGTATATATTTTGGAAGGGGTCCATTGAAACAACACACACAAATAATTCCATAGACAAAATTTTGAGTTAGAATCATTTTTTGTTTATTTATTTATTCAATTCTGTAGAATACACAGATAGAGAGATACACACGTGTATCATGGCCAAATGTCAATCAGTTAAATATTCTGGTCTGACAAATTTTAATTTAGTTTGATTGAGTATTTATTCATTCATAAAAAAAATCTAGTCAAATAAACTATAATGGCTCGAATAGCACGTATGGTATTTACTTCGTTGTCACTATTTTTGGGAATGTTCTTTTTTTTCTTCGGTCTTATCAAAGTATCACGATCATTGAATTCAGAAATTCATCGAGAAATGCGACGAAATTTTGTCCGTTATGCTAAAGTAATTCCATTGTTGACCACCAATTTAGGCTGGAAAATATCACCAAAATATTATCGTTTGTGTGTCGGATATTCCGAAATTATAGCCGGATTATTGTTAGCATTCTGTCCGGGTCGTACAAAACAATTGGTCAATGTCTTCCTTATCGCTCTATCTATTGGTGCCATTCATACTCATCTGGCAATTGGTGATGATTATAATAGTAAGTATTGCTATTATTATCATATGTAATGTATTTCTTATTTTATTCAAAATTTTTTATTCGTTTTAAATAGAAATGATACCAGCGATAGCCTTCTTTTCGATGCTCACTACTCGATTGATTTTATACTTTCTTCTCAGACGTATTGATCAACAACAGTCAGAATCAGTATCATTTCCATCCAAAGTCGAAAAAACAGAATTCAATACAACAACAACACCTATTATTGAAGACAAACAAGCTATAAAAATTCCTGAAACAAGTCAAAAATGGTCATCAATTTTTACAATGAAATGGTGGTTTGGTCGAACATTCATGGCCACTATACCGACAAACAGAAGCGGTGGCAAATTTGATGATTTGATTGATGATACATTTCGAATCGATAAGCCAAAAACCAAAAAATCAAATAAAACCATTAAAAATTTGATGGAAAAAGAATCAATTAATACAACAACCTCTTCCTCATCTTCCATCACAAGTGGTCATGGAACAAAAAATCGTCGCAAACGAAATAAACAAAAAAACGAATAGAAGAGTCGAAAACAAAAACTAATCAGGAAATCGCACCAAAATTATTCACATAAATCAATATTATGTCATATTACTCTTTCAAACATGCTAGTCACACAGTGTTCTTCTATTTAGTGTCATAAATTTTTGCATTTTTTTTTAATTATTTGTAATCATAAAATATAATAGAATCGAATTGATAATAATAATAATTTAAAAATATACAGAAAAAAAATGGTGATCTCTTGTACAAATGTTATCGATCACGATTCGTATGATGCAAAGATGTTGTTTTTGTTGTTGATGTAATTCGACCACTTTGATTTGGAATTTTTGTTGTTGGACCATTTAAAGGATGGTAACGATTATTTTCCATGACTGTCGATGTTCGTTGCATCAATTTACATCGTTTATTTACGTCTATTGTAGTAGATGATCGAGTCATTGATGATGATGATGATGATGAAGCTCTTGATGCTGATGGTGATGGTGATTGATGAAATCGTCGACGACTGCCGCTACCACCAACACCAGGTCTAATATCAACATTATTCTTCAAATGGAGATTATGATTCTTTTTTACAACAATCGGTGACTGTGATGATTGTAATGTTCCATTTTTCATTGTTCGGCTATGTATTCGGTTATCATTCGAATGACTGACAAATGATGATTGCCTTACGGAAGATGGTGATGATGAATTTTTTAGCTTCGATGTTAAAGATGGCAGCGGCGGTGATGGTGGTGTGTCGGGTTTTTTCTTAGGTATTTTATATGTACTACTAGTAGTTTTTTTACCATCTGGTTTCAACATCATCGACATTATTTTTGGAATTTTTTCATCATTTTTTTTATTATCAAAATCATGATCATAACGATGATGATGATGGTTGTGACCATTAATATTGGTCGATGATGAGTGTTTGGATAAACGATTTTTGGCTTCCATCGATTTGCGTCCAATCACAATATCATTAGATTTAGATTTATAATGATCCATACTTTTTTTCGATTCATTCGATTTTATTAGCTTTTTTGTTTTCGATGCTGATGATAATAGCTTTGGTGGTGTAGACGGCGTTCTAGATGATGGTGGTGTTGATGCTGATGCTATCGGGATTTGTTTATTATCATTTACATTGAGATCTTCATCATCGTCATCATCATCGAACGACATTGATGAATCTGAAGAATCGATTGGTGATGTTAATAATGACTGAAGAGGTGATGATGGTGTTGTCGTTGTTGTTGATGATTGATGGGATGGTTGCGATATTGGAAGTTTGTCATTGTTTTTTTCATGATGATGAAGACCATTAGAATTTTGATGAGTTGATTTAGACGATGAAGAAGAAAATGATTGATTTTGGCCTGTATCGACAAATTTATCTGGTTGTGATTGCGGAGGCAGCGGCGGTGGCGGTGGATTCAGTCGATTATTAGTCGGATGTTCTCCTGTTAGGATCATTTGTTTCAGTTGTTGATCAATGATTGTTTGTCTATTATTAGACCTTGTACGAACGCCTACATTATTCTTAATCTCTTGCGTTTTTACATTATTGATACGATTGTTTTCCGATGTGGCGATAACATCTGAATCAGTGTCATCTTGTTCATCAATAACTTGCTTCTTATCATCTATGCTGATAGACTGATTGATTGGTGGTCGATTTGGTTCATTATGATTGCTTGTTTGCTGATTAATCATAAACATTGTTTGCCGAATCTTTGATAAACAATTAAACAATAATTTTGATTTATTATCATTATCACTGGTGCTGGTGGTAGTAGTGGTCATTGTTTGTTCTTTTTGAAGACGATATTTTTGTTGTTGTTTATTGGCAAGTGTTGATGATAATGTCGGTAGATTAAATAATCGGGTGAAAACTGATTGACTTTCTTGTCGTAAACGTTTTTGCGCGCGAGAATGACACCAAATTCTATACAGAATCAATGGCAGATATCTAGATGATTTTATGTAGATCATACGAAGGTGAATTTGAAATATTCTTGCTTCCTTATCGGGATGTTGTCGACAAACACCCATCACTATTTTATGGCGACAATTCATTCCATTCAAACGAAAATGACCAATTACCGTTCTGCATTTTGGACAATAAATAGTACGATGGTGTAGTGAAGATTGTTTACTTTCGTGGGATTTGAACATCCATTCCATTGGTTCAATAAATATCGAAGGACAATATTGTACATTTTGATTTACATTATACTCATAATTTTGGGCCGAAATCGATAATGATGGTGGCTGTAATACGTTTGAATCAGTAAACAATTCATATGAACATCTTTGACAAATATAAATCGATGCTAATTTGGCTAGGAATTGATCATCATCATTGTTGGATTGCGCATGATGATGATGATATTGTCGTAATAGGATGGCTAATTTTTTAGCATTATGATTAGTGTATGATGTACCTATTGGTTCCAATTGATCGAATTTGTTGCGACGAACAAATTCTAAAAATGAATGATAATTACTTAGTTTATTCAATTCGCAATTTGTTTGTATTGAATGCATCAAAAGTAAAAATCGTTGTATCATGGCGGTTTGATCTCGATAATCGGATAGATGACTATAGGTTGGCTGAGATGAATCAGCAACAATATTCAGTCGACAACGAATATGATGATAAGTAGCGGCTATCGACATGGACATACATTTTGAAAGGGAATACGATGCAAACGCTATGACCAGATCAGATTGTTCTTGTATGTAGGTAATGAGGAATCGATGACGTCGTGATAATTTGGTCATAATAGTATCTAATTTCATTAGACAACTATAACATTGTTCACCTAAAGGACCAGCATCATTATCATCATCATCATTATGATCAGTATTCCCCGGTGGTATTCTTATGAAATGTCGTATGATAGTTGATAATGATAGTTTAAGATGATTAGGACGAACAGATTCTTCAATTAAGGCTGCCAATGGTCGTCGATTATGTGGATGGCAATCATAATAGATCATTATTAAATGTTCAATTGCTAAATCTTCGATTAGATTTCTTGATGAATGGAATAATTTTTCCACAGAACACATATATGCACCATTGTATATTGGTGTTATTAGTTCGCATGATGTTAATGGATCGAATTTTTTTGTATTATTGGTGGTCATACGATTCAATAAATTCAATCGTAATGAACATTGATCAAGATAAATTTCATCATCATGCTGCAATGAATTTGTTGGCTGATTATTAATATATTGATCTAATTCAACATCAATATGGTCGATTTGAAATCGATCATCAGCCATACTGCCCATTTCAGTGCACTTAATATTTTTTTCAATTAATTTGGTATTGATATCCAATTTATAGTCAACAGATACATTGTTTGCTTGTTTTCGTTCTCTATCTCACTAGCGTAACGTAACAAATAAATTACAGAAACAAAAAAAAAATTATTTTCGTGGCATGGATCTTGTGCACCAAAAACAAAACAAACGAATTTTTTTCTCTAATAAGATTGTTTAGCAGTGTAATTTGTTATTTTTTCTGAATTATATAACAAAGATAAATAATGGAATTTGAAAAAAAACAACAAAAATTAATATTAAATAGATTAAATGTTGACTTGGATTTTGTTTGGTTGTCGTATAAATAAAATGTGAAATAGTTTATGTGATTTGCGTATTCTCTTTACTTTCTACATGCTCTTTGTCGGGTAATCACCATTCATTAAAGACGTTACTAAATTTTTTTTTTTCATTTTTTTATTTTAATTTTTTTTTTACTTCTTTTCATCGAACAATATTGTTAAACAATGAAAACACGATAGATTAAAGATAGGCCTTTTTTTTGTCGTACGCAAACTCAAAAACAAGAGTTATTGAGCGCGCTCAATAATAATATCGCAATATAGAGTGCGCTTAAACTTGTTTCCTTATTTCTTCATTTGTATGCCACTACAATTGTAATCCTTGCAGTAACACTAAATGATGGCGTCAATATTTGTAACATATGAATTTATCCAATTGATATACTTGTCATGTATAAAGAATTTCATTTTAATTTTATTTTTTTTCATAAGAATTTGTGATTGGAATGATTTTGTCATGAATCTTTAATTCAAAATTTAATTATTTATTCTATAAAGAAGAATCATTGGAAGATTTTTGATTTGGTTCATGTAAATAAATACGTCCTAATTGAGCGAAATTAGTTGCAGCAACAAAAAAGTTTACTGAAAAAAGGCCCCAATTTTTTGGAATAATTACCAACGAATATCGAGACCAAATTAAACCAGTAGCTGCCAATGATGCTAAGATCAAAAATTGTTTTATTAATATTATATTCATTATTAAATATAAACAATTTACCTGTTTGGCGAGCTGAAAGATTTTCTACAGGTCTTGATAAATCAGAGATTCCAGCTATAACAAGGCCCTAATTGAGGATAGAAAGATATTGAATAGATTTAATGATATTTGAAAAAAAACAAACAAACACAATCATACCCATTTGATAACTGGTGACCAAAAAAATACGGTTTTAGGGCCAGCTTCATGTTCCCAAATTGGACGTAATTTTATTGGAATCAATGGATCTAATTTACGTATCACTGATCGATATATGAATGACATGGTAAAAATCTTTTAATTTTAGTTGTTAATCGTAATGATGAAGAAATATAAAACAATTCGAATTCGATGTGATTTATTATTGAATGTTTTTGGTGATGCTAGTGTTTCGATCATTTGAAACTTTGAAATTCGTATCAATGAAAATGTAATCTGATCCGATTTGTTGATAAACAATCAAACATTTCAGATTATGATAGTACTGCTGCTCAAGCAGGTCAGCAGTTTTTCATCATTACCATCACTCGATTTTCGATATTAAGAATTAATTAATGTTGTTGTACTCAAAATCAAAAAAAAAACAACATATTTACAACCTTGAAATCGTATAAGCATATGAGGAAATCCTAAATTATAAATACACATGCATAACATTTACGTAACAACTTTCATCGTATAGAAACTTAATTTATTCAAAAATAAAAAAATAAAAAAAAACTTTCATTCTCTTGCAATAGATGGCACGAAAGTCCTGAGATCTTATAGAATCTCGCAGAATAAGGCGGAGATTTCGAAATGTATCTAAAAACATTGTAGAGGGTTGGCCAATAATGTAGTAGCAGTATTGATTAATGAATGAAAATTACAGAAACGAATATACTTATTGGACTGGTAGTAGAATCACTTGTATATAAAATACCAAGTTTTTTCGATTCTAATTATCAAATCAAATTTGGCTTTCATTTGGTTCGTTTCGGTCAATGAAGAAATGATCTCACAAACAACAAGTTTTTTCCCACCACAATCATTCAAATGATTAGCTTAGAGAATTTTAACCGATGTTCACTGACATTGTAAATTTTTTATTTTTGGATTGTTTGTAGTGTTGTGTTTATTGTGATTAATTAATTTGTAACTAACAACAACAATCATGTCAGCCATTAAATCATTATTTTTATTGTGTTTTGTTACTGGAATTATATTTATTATTCCAATCGATGCTGCACGTCGATCCGAACGTAATGGTCAACGAAAATTACGTCAACAGCAACAACGACCACAATCAACATCAACAATTTCTTCAACGATGAACATTGATCATGGTGATGATCATCATTGGAATGATGGTCATCATCAATTTGCAGCATTATCTCATCAACAACATCATATGGAATCTTTCGCTGAAGATGATGAATATTTTGATGATATTAAACCGGCTGGTCATTCTTGTGAAGATATTCGTATCGAAATATGTCATGATGTTGGTTACAATGTAACTTCGATGCCGAATTTTGTTGGCCATGAACTACAATCCGATGCCGAACTTCAATTACAAAGTTTTATTCCATTAATTTCATATGGATGTTCATCACAATTGAAATTTTTCCTTTGTTCAGTATATGTTCCTATGTGTACGGAAAAAGTACCGGTCATGATTGGACCATGTCGTCCATTATGTGAAAGTGTACGATCACGTTGTGCTCCCGTCTTATCGGGACTTGGTTTTCAATGGCCAACTGCATTGAATTGTTCGAAATTTGTGCCGGAAAATACAATCGATCATATGTGTATGGAAGGTCCACCACCACATGAATCAGAATTGATTGTTGGTGCGAACAAAACACCAATTATTAAAAATGTTCTCGGAGGACACAATTCGATTGCTTCTCAGCCACCACTCAATGTTTATCACAGCACCAATAATAATAATCGACAATCTCATCCATCAGTTCATTTGATGATACCTGGTAGTTCTCGCCATCATCATCATCATCTAATTCCACAAACGTCTCAAATTTCGCCATCGGTTCCTCCTCAGCATAACTTTGGAGATTTGCTGTATGGACCATCATCAATCGATACGAGTAATCGTAATCGTAATAAACCGCTACAACCAAAACAAATGACGCCCGAAGTGATTATGACAAATGTTATTGATGCACAAGCACAAGATGAGCGATCATCATCAATTGCATCAACCGGTGGATCTAATCAATGTTGGCAATATCGACGATCAGAAAATTATGTTTTTCTTGAACATCCTCGTGGTCGTTGTGTAGCACGTTGTGAATCGGATGTTTTGTTCACTGAAGAAAATAAAAATTTTGTTGATTATTGGACAATGGTATGGGCATGTTTATCATTGGCTAGTTGTCTTTTTACATTAATCGCATTCATGACCGGATCAACTGATCGATTTCATTATCCCGAACGAGCCATATTTTATATAGCATTATGTTCAATGATCTATGCTTCGGCATACATATATCGAACATTAGTCGGACGAATAGCTGCATCTTGTTATCAGGAAGGTCCCGATAAACAACAATTGTTGCTTGTTCAAGAAGGAGCTCATAATCCACATTGTACATTTTCATTTTTGATGTTATACTATTTTGGTATGACTGGTTCAGCTTGGTGGCTAGTATTAGCAATAACATGGTCATTATCGGTAGCATTCAATTGGTCACAACAACGTTTATCCTATCATAGCCAACTTTATCATTCGTTAGCATGGACATTACCTGCATTACAAACGTTAGCAGCATTAGTAATGCGAGCTGTTGACGCTGATGAACTTACCGGTATATGTTATGTTGGATCACAAGATGACAGCAATCTGTTGCGATTTGTCATTATACCAATGGCCATTTATCTGACTACTGGTCTGTTATTTATTATCATATCATTCATATCGGTTCGATTTAATGCAATCACTAACAACAATGATTCGGATGCTAATCATCCTTGTTGTAATTGTTGTATCGGTGCAGCTGGAAGTGATGAAGAGAATAGTAGCAATAGCGATAGCAGTAATGTTGATGCCGAAACTGATCATCAATCAAGTTTATCACAATCAGATGCCGCATCCGTTGGTTGTGGTGATTTTTGTCGTCGTTTGCGAAGAAATTATGGCCGTTATGGACAAAATAGTGGCCATCATCATGGTCTTGGAAGAGTTGGAACAACTGCACAGGCTGGTTCCGGACATTCATTACTACTGTTGCCAGCATCGAATCGACATCATAATCATCATCGTCGTCAGATGTCAAATAATTTTTGCTCGGCAACCGTTTCTTCATCAACATCTTCATATTCATCATCAACAATGTCCACTTCTCATCATCATCACAATAATAATAATAATCCAATCTCAAAAGATAAACACTGCATCAATGCTAATGGTAATGGTCTTTGGTCTAATGTTGCTGTTTCGCAAACCAATCCGAATCGTGCCATCATTGGTCGATCTAATAATAATCATAATTTAACGGCATATCCATCTCATCAACAACGAGCTGTAGCAGCAACCATGGCTATTAACGATGCTTTTGATTATGATAGCCATGAAGATGCAGCTGGTCGTCGTCATGAAGATGATGCTGCTCTTATTCGTAGTGGTATATTTGCATTATTCTATACACTTCCGGCTTTATGTGTATTATCAACCTATATCTATGAATATCTATATCGACAACAATGGCTTTTAAGACAAACCGATACTACCACCGCCATTATGACATCTACAGCTACAAATATGATCAACAATTCACCAACAATGATTGAATCACTTGAATATAATCGTCCAAATTTCGAAATATTTAACATGCGATTATTTATGTCATTTGTTATCGGCATCAAAACCGGAATATGGATTCTAACAGCACGATCACCAATAACTGCTTTAAGATGTGTAATAACACGTTGTATGACAAAAAAAGTATTTCCAGTTAATAATACTATTAATGGCCATCATCCTACACATCATGTTCATCATCATCATAATCAGATATCCAGAACATTACAACAACAACAACAAATCCAAAAACCGAATCCAGCACAGATATTACCACCACATTCACAAATTCTTTATAATAATGATGGTCAAACAATGATTAATCAGCATCATCTAAATCAACTAAATATTGATTCAAACAAAACATCTTTAGAACACACAAATACAAATATTGGTCATCATAATCAACAAGCAAATCATTTTTTCTTTATGAACGATATGCATTTGGCAGCAGCAGCAGCGGCAGCCGCAACAAAAATTCCATCCATTATCAACAATAATGAGACAACATTTTTTCCTGATATTACTAATAACAACAACAACAATGGATCAACAACAATGTCAACGACAATCAGTTCATTAACACATCATTCTAATCCTCATCCTCATCATCATCATACGGATCATATTCAACGACAACAACAAAAGCAACAATTGGCCGATATTCATCAGAATCGTGCAAATAATTCTGGTGGTGGTAATGGAAATGAAACTGCAGTCTAAAAAAATGTTCGATCTAGTGTTTCTTTCCAACAAAAAAGGCATAATTCTAAGTCATTTTTATTAATTATTATTTTTTCTTTTCACCATCTTCATCTCATATATTTTGTTGTTGTTGTTGTTGTTTAATTCGTTTTTTTGTATCATAAAAGAAAATGTATTTCATTTTGTAAGATATAATTTCATTTGCAAAAAAAAATCTAAATAAATAATAAATTCTTAAATCAAAAAAACAAAAATCATTGACAATGATTTGTTGCACAACTTTATTTTCGATTATTTATTCATGGTTTGTGTTTTGGGTGTGCAAATGTGACAAGTGTGTTTGTGTGGGTGAATTGTGGTCTTTTTTTTTCTTGCCAAGAACATCTGGTCATAGTGAAAAATTCTATCTGGTGACACTAATGGAAAAATTTTCTTAATAAGAAAGAAATAAGGAAAAAATTGTCCTTGAAAAAAACCATGAATTCTCTTAAATGAAAAAAAACTGAAATGTAATTAGATCTGCTAATGTTTTTTTGGTTTTCGAGAAATAAAATGTCTAGGCTAAATCTATTTTCCTGACTGACTGACTGACTCATTCAGTCAGTATCTCTCCATGTCCCTTTTGATCACTGATCAATGTTCAAATGGAGGTAATTTAGCTAAATTGAATGAATGACTGAGAACAAAAAAGAAACAAATGAAAATAGGGAAATAAAACAAAGAATAAACAAATATGATCCATCATCGATCATCATCATCATTATCAACTAATCACAATATTGGTCAAAGAAAGAGTGAGAAATGATCATAATTACCAATCATATTATATAAGGTGATCGAACTTTTTTCTATGTTGAAACTCATAAAAAAAACTTATCACCCTATACAGAATAGATGAAAAAACTGTCTTAGGCAAAAAGTTTTATGTTTATCACATATGTGATGTGAAACAAACCAAAAAAAAAAATCCATACTGATCTTTGATCCAAAACACATGATTCTCAATAATGATGATGATCATTTGCGAATACGACGAATTATCACCACACAACCAAATAAAACGATTTATGACATGCTGTGTGTGTGTATGTGTTTATCAAAAAGCATCGATCGAGAGATACAAATCACCAAACATTAAACAAAGCGACGACTTGAATTTTTACAACCCACATATGATAATGTTGGTTTCATTTCAATTTCAAATTTTTTTTTCAATTCAAATCAAGAATTCTAAAAGAGAAAGAGAAATTTTTTTTGGATTTAAAGAAAAAATTTTAATTCAGGCTTCTTGCTGTGTGTGTGTTGATTGTCCATTCACTTTGCTATCAACAAACAAACACTACCAAGATAGGAACATTAAGAATGCTTGTCACACATGTACAATATCTGCATTTTATTTTGTTTGTCATGTCATGAAGAAAATATCATCATGATCACGACGATGATGATGATCAAAATCAAAATCAAAAAACCAACAATACTGATGATGATTATTTATACTGGTGTGTGTTTGACAGGATAGAAAACATCATCATTTTTGGATTACATAAGATCTTCTTCCACATGTATGTTGTGATGTGTGTGTGTGTTTTGGCTTAAATCTATCTAAATATCTATCAATCAATCATTTATGTTAAATATTTGTAACCGGAAATACAAAACTTATCAGTTGTTGTTGTTGATGATGATGAATTTTTTATTCAGTTTTTACAAAAATTTTTGGGCTTTAATTTTCCGTTGTCGTTGTCATTGTCAATTTTTTTTCTGTTTTGTTTTGTTTTGACATTTATTTCAATTAATCACATGGCCTGTCCACCATGCTTTTGTTATAAGGAATTCGTATTTTTTTTTTTTTTTTTTGTTGAGAGAAATAAGAAACCATTAGTGAATGTTTTTTTCCTTTATTTTTTGCATTGCTTCACTTTACTTTCCTTCTCTCCTTGTCAAATTTGGTTTCAAATTTATTTTTTCAAATGTCATTGCAGTTGTCCAGCAATGTCTACCACCCCACCACCACCGTTGTTGTCCACATTATTGTGTCACTGTTACGGTGACATTTGAAAATTTTCAAGAAAAAATGACAAAAAAAAAGATAAATAGACAATTCAAGTTACCCTGCTGAACTTTATTTTAATATCCCCTACCCACCCACACACACACACACACATTCGCAAGTTCTTATCCAAAATCAAATTGAGAGTGAAAAAGAATAAAAAGATCAGAGTCAATTCGAGACAATTTTTTTTCTTTTTGAATAGAGTTCCTGTGAATATAAATAAATAAATCTTTCGAACCAATCTTTTTGAATCACAAAGATAGATTCAAGATTGATTGAGAGAGAGAGAGAGAGAGAGAGAGAGAGAGAGAGAGAGAGAGAGAGGAATATTT